GTTTTGTTCACGTCCAGGGTGGTGCAGCCAGAGGCACACTCATGCAGGCCAGCGCCTGGAGCAAGCTGAGGTGGAACCGGGGAGGGGAAGAATGTTTTTTTTTTTTTCTTCAAAACAAACCGGATATAGACACACAGACAAAAACTGAGCTCATGATACAGGAAGGAGAGGAGGAAATGGCAAGGGGAGTAGGTGGGAGGGATGGAGAGCACAGCAAACCATGTTAGCCCTGGCGTGTGAGGTAAATTTTCACAAGGACTGGCACAGGCAGAAGCAATGGCTTTTTCTGACCCTACACTCTCTCCTAATTTGGGCAACAGGCCAATGGGTTCAATATCCATCTAAACCACCTAATTTCACTGTGGTTGGAACTACAAGTAGGTGAGTCTACTACACGAACAAGAAATACTTCAGCCTCAGAATAGCAGCAAAACAGTGAGCCTGCCCTCTTCATGACAAGGGGGCTCTGTATTTAGGAACTGAGCGGTGGAAATGTTTATAGCGATTATCACTTGGAGACTCTGATTTATTTTGACAGGCATTTCTGGAGGTTTTTTTTTTTTGGACTGTTTAGAATGAACACAGTCGACTTTTATAATCAGTGTTTTTTTTGCTTTTGTTTTTAAAAGCTGTTTCCAAAAAAGCAAACAAACCAAAAATACCTGATGGGTGGTACAAAGAGGTATGATCTTTCTGGGAAGATTTGAATAATATTCAGGTCCAAAATGGGTGTCTCGATGGCTGTTTGTCTGTCACTTTCAAATGGCTCCTTACTTCTGGTAAGGTTAAGCCAGCCTTCATTCTAAAGGGCTCTGGGGAAGGTTTCCCTCAGAGGAAAGGCCCACAGCAGCGCCCACTGAGCCATGTTACCGTATACAGTCAAATAGAACCAACTGAGGTGGAGCTGATTCCAGATCATGGTGACTTCATGGGCGTCAGAGTAGAACTGTGCCCCACAAGGTTTCCAACAGTTGATTATTTGGAAGTAGATCACCAGACCTTTCTTCCAAGCCTCCTCTGGGCAGGCTCAAACATCTAACTTTTTGGTTAGCAGCCAAATGTGTTTGTCATTTGTCCCACTCAGGGACATTGGTCAAATCGTAAGGCAATAAAAAAGAAGGTGATGGCCAGGGGTAGCCATTGGCATTTTTCTTCATTGTCATGGTTGGGTTCCCTGAGTGGTCCTGATACTTACATCGAGGTAGTAAAACGTAGGTTGGAGGGTGGGAAATCTGCTGTGGAGGGAGGCTTGACTGAAATAACAAAATGTTCTTCTGCTCCTTAGGAAACAGAAGCTAGGAGTTTAATGCAGTGGCAAGACACTTATTTCCACGTCCTAATTAAGGAAGAGAGAATTTAGGGAACAACAATTGCCTTGTTAGCTTACACTTTTTCTGGAACAGCTGGCTGGTGAGGATGGTGCTTTAGGACCGCAGGGAAGAACGCATGCAGCAGAAAATCAAGAAGCTGTTTATGTTGTCTCGAGTTGACGATGTTAAATGTGTTGCTTGTGCTCATCTGACTTTTTGTGAACCCCAAATTAATCAAGGCTATATATGCTCCTAGAGTGCCCCAAAGCACTGGAAATGCAAAATACAGCTTTTCTCTCTCCCTTGTTGCTCATTAAATAGGTGGAGGCTTTGACTGGGGTTGACTGCTACCAGGCATAAATTTAAAGAAGTTTATAGAAAAGCAAACTTTAAATATGGAAAAAAAAAAAAAAAGAAAAGAAAAATATCAGGTTGAGGCTAGAAAAGATTTCCTAAAGCTTCTGAAGAGGATTCAAAAGACTGTTTTGTAATTTGAAGCACCTCTGATGTGATGATCTTGCAATAAGCCACAATGTTACATATTGTAGAAATAATTAGTTAAACCCTATTATCAACTGACATAAATTCCAAATACAAACAAAAAACAAACTCATTGCCATCGAGTCGGATCCGACCCATAGCAACCCCTCCTTGGGTTCTGAGGTGGTATCACTAATGGGACATTATTAAATTGGACAACTGTAGCTTTCAGGAAATTTGAAATTATAATTTTAAGAAAATTATAATATCAGATATGTAGTGTGAAAAGCAGTTTTTATACTGGAAAATTATTTTTACATGCAGGATTTCACATGTTTAATGAATTAAGTATGAAGTAATATACCTAGCCCTACAGTCCCCACAAACATTGACTGTTCATGAATGGGGACTTGGGGATGTCATGCTACAAAGGACCTTAGTTTTGCTTTCTAATAAAAATGATATGGCTGCCCATTTCCCCATTCCCAGGATTTGCATGAAACTTGACTACCTCCATGAGAAATGACTCTTCTGTAGGGCTCAATGACCTTCATGTCAATCCGCTGCTCTTGTTCTCCGATCACTACTGTCCTCCACAACCGGTTGTCCTCTCGCTCCTCTTCTGCGGTATATTCTGGAATAGACTCTGACTCCTGACCAGAATCTTTGTTGGCAGTGGGATCCTCTGGAAATGAAGCACAGAGTAGGGCTGAAGGAACAAGACTTCCACAGCTGAGGCAGTTAAAGGACTAGTTACATGTAAACGACCTCCTGGCAGAGTGAACCTCACAGGGTTCCCAGTTTTGTAGAGCTCTTATGGAGCTGAATATTATCCTGACCACATAGAAGACCCTCAGGGAAGTCTTACTTGTTGAGTGATGAAAGCTATTAGAAATGGTCAACTAGAGGGTAGGGGTAGGTGTCAGGCTAGAGTTGTCTTGTACTGTCAGTCCAGTGGGGTACAAACTGGCACCAATTCATCCTTGATGTATATTCTTCCTATAAGCACTTATACTCACATATACACACATTGTTCCAAATTATTCTATAATTCTGTATGTTCTATACTGTTCTACAACTTCCTCTTATCTCATAATATAGCACAGGCTTCTTTTCAACTCAGTAAATATAAATCCTGCTTATTTTAAAAATTAGCATTGGGATATTCTATTTTACTGATGCCTTTTTGTTTAGCATTCCCATAGTGATGGAAATTTAGTTCTACTCCATTTTGTTGTTATAGTTATTGCTTGTAAAGAATGTTCCCGGTAGGTATTCTTGTGTGGACATTTTAGCTCATTTGTGCACAGACTGCTTGCTCTCTGGTAACTCTGTAACCATGGAGTGACGGATTAGAGGGTCTAAGCATTTAAAATTGTCATGGACATTTTTGCCCTTAAAAATGTCACACCAAAATGTGTGACAGTGCCTGTTTCCTCTCACTGTTAGATACACTGGAAGCTATCAAA